TTTGATGGCTGCATAATATTCCATTGTATATATATACACCACATCTTCTTTATCCATTCATCTGTCGATGGACATCTGGGCTCTTTCCATAGTTTGGCTATTGTGGACATTGCTGCTATAAACATCAGGGTGCATGTGCCCCTTCAGATCACTACATTTGTATCTTTGGGGTAGATAGCCAGTAGTGCAATTGTCGGGTCATAGGGTAGCTCTATTTTCGACTTCTCGAGGAAACTCCATACTGTTTCCCAGAGTGGCTGCACCAGCTTGCATTAAAATCTTACTAGTTTTTAGAAGGCTAAACAAGAGTTGTGATTTACATATTATATGATGTCTAAACCCCAGAACGTTGTGATGCACTACTAGTTAACATCATTCAAGCTATTTGTTGTAATTTTAGGCATTTTTTAGTAGTCCTTTTTTTTTTTTAACAGATTTTATTTTGAAGTAATCTCTATTCCCAATGTGGGGCTCAAACTCACGACCCCGAGTTCAAGAATTGATCCAACTGAGCCAGCCAGGCACCACTCTTAGTAGTCTTAATTTTTTTTTCTTTCAGTCAGAAAGGAGTAAAATACTTCACATTGGCTCTGGTCTTTTGGAAACTTAAAAAATAATGGTTAATCAAATAAAAAGTAAAATTAAAAAAAGAAATATGAATGATTTATATACATGAAGAAGTTAAGTATCATTAATGCAACCAAATTAAAACATTTTATCTCCATAACTTGGCAAATATAGAAAAAGCATAGGAATATCTAGTACTAAGAATGAACATGGGTACTCTTATATACAGCTGGGGGGACATGTAAGTCAGTAGAAGCTTTCTGGAGGACAACTTGACAATGTGTAGCAAAAACTTTAAATGTGGACTTTCTTCTTAAAACAGTAGTTTCACTATTAGGAAATTATCCTAAGGAAAAGCATATGGATGCATCCAGAGATTAAGCCAAAAAGATTTCTACAGTAATATTGTTAATATGGCAATAAAAATAGTTTAAAAGTCAAATGATAGGGAATTGATCAAGTATATCACTATAAATAAATAAAACAGAATGCAGTGTAGTCATTAAAGTGATGTACAAGAATGTTTAATGACAGGAAATCTGTTTACTGTTTAATTAAAACACTGATGCAGTGTTTCCATTTAAGTTATTACAGCTATAATTGAGTAGAAAAAAATAAAGATTTTACATCAAAATGGTAACTGTAGTTTTCTTTAGGTAAAGGGATTATGATACATTTTTACTTCTATTTGCTCACCCACATTGTTTAATTTTCTCATATTCTTATTTTGTAGTAACAATAATGAAATGTATTATCAAACACAGTTTAATGTTGATTATAATGATTTATCTCGATTCTATGAAAAGTAAATAAATTGAGCTCCCCTATTTTTGCCAGATTATCGTGCTGTTTGTTTCCATTTTACTAAAAAGAAAAAAGGCAGCCTTCATCCCAGCTCTGCCCTCACCAACTGCTATCACATGTCATTCCAGAAGACATTGAGACATGCCCGAATGCTACCAAGAATCATTCTGGGTGAGTGAATAATTTAAAATGACATTTAAGAGTAAACATCTGAAGTCTAACTTGTATCTAAAGTTATTGAGACGTTGCCACCAATACCAAAAGGAACTTCAAGTGAAGAGCAAGGAAAAAATTATTTTACTCACAGAGACTTTGTCCTTTGCCTGTTTAAATACACTGGAAGCCTGAGTTGATTCACCACCTGTTGCTGTCAAAAAAAGAAGATACAAACAACCCCAAACTTAGTGGCTTAACAACCACACAAATGCATTTTTCAATATCTTTTCGACACTCAATTGTGTCAACAGACGAATGCAAAGCAAAACTTGGCTTATTTTGAGATTCGAATTCAGTAACTGAAGAAACCTGAGTAAGAACATTCTAGCATGTGGCTCCCACTATAGTGTGTGCTAATTAACATAACCAGTGTTTACCAAAGCATAGGTAAGCACACCAAATAATTTCCTATTGGTTACCAAGGTACCTTTAAATACTGTTACTCCACGAGCATAGATCCTTTAGCATGAAAGTCACAGAACAACCATCCAATGCTGTAGAATTTAAGAAAAGGGGGAAGTGATTGGTTTCTAGGGTTGGCACGACATTAAAGAGTGTTCAGGGAGATTCCCAAGCCCTCTTTTTGTAGCCAATGGCATACATACAGATATTTCTAAATTTCATATTCCAAACTATCATAATCAGCCAACCCCTTTCCCTCTGCACCCCTTCATTTAACAAAAGGAATGACACACTTGTTTGACATGAAATGCACCACATGAGAAGAAAAATAGCTTGTCAAAGAAAGAAAACATGAGAGGAATTTTAAGTTCAGTAATACAGAACATGTTCTACACATGCACTTCCTGTATGAAATTATTACCACATCTGTTACTGTTGTTTTTCTTGTTGCTGTTTTGTACCTCTGGCTTCAGTTTTAAACTCCACTATCTCCAGCACATTTTCTGTTGATGACTTACCTGACTTGACTTGAATATCTCTTATGATTGAAAACAATCCTTTGTGTTTTGGGAAAACCATCCCTATTTAAAAATTGTGCTTAGAAAATGAAAGGCACAAGCTTGCGGAGTTACCTCCTCCTTAATTTTCTTTCAGAAGAGAGAAAACGCGAGGGGCGGGGGGAGAAAGCTTCTGCTTATAGGCACTCTGAATCAGTTTCAAAAAGGTTTCTTATGTCGCATGCAGCTCTAACACAAGTATAACTGTCTACAGAATGCCATATGCTACTTAGGACTGGCTAGTAAGATTATTCACAGATTCTGGAATGATTTTTTTAAAAAGAAGCAGTGCAAATGATGCTTTCCTAATATTTCTGTAATATTTCTTAAATTTCTGTGACATAGAGTTTGCTTCAAGCCAATGACATCCATGTTTGATATATGCTTTCTGCTTGAGTATCTTAATATTTGAACAGATTAAGGGAAGATCTTAATTAGTCCAAAGATCTTAAATTTTCTTTAATGAATGAGTTGAAAAGGCAATTCACTATCAGTGTGGCAAATTGAATACCAATGACATGTCAGGCACTTCACCAAACCATTTGATGTTTCCTCAAAATTCCATAATCCTGATATATTTTTCATCCTCTTATACATGATATAGGATTTTTATGCCCAAACCAAGAGAGTCTGCCTGTCCACACATTTTTCTAACTAGAAGTAAAATTCCGAGTTTAATGCAAATGAATTAAGATGTGATATAAGAGTTGGAGATGTCATATTAATTTCTAACTGAGAAACATGCTTCAGCCTGAACTTTTATCATCAAGGTTTCTATATAATTTATGAGCCTTCCAGTTTCAAATACTGCCTTAAAGATTAGTTCTTGGAGAAAAGCTCATGAGATGATTCCCATATGAAGAACACAGATACAAAATACTTAGAATTTTATTGACTATCATAAAACCATCAATAACCTTGATTTTCTTTTTCTTACAAAGGTTAATGCTGCTCTTAATCATTAAAGCCATCAGAAGGTTTATATAAAGGCACCTTTTTTTTTACCCCTATCTAAAGGCACTTCTAGTATACAATGTAAAGGTAAATATTCCTTTCTGACTTAGCAATCTGATACCTAATTTTGTAGCCTACAAGTGTGCTAACTAATAAATGCTAAAATAAAATGTATTGCAAATTAAGATTATCCTAAGATAATTATACATTTAACATGAATAGAGTTTGCATTATAGATATTTGTATGAGCTTTTATTGTGATTTGTAATAAGTTTTGCTCCTTCATTTCACTGCTTTTTTAAGGAGTTAAAAACAAGTATATTTGAAGAAGACCGAAAAATAAGAAGGTAGCAACATAGGAATACACCTAAGTTATAAGAAATGAAGGCGTTTTATCCGGGAATTCTGAATTCTAAATTACATAGAAAAATTAGCAGTTTGAATCCAACACATTTAAGAAAATCCCAGTGACAAAGTGTCAGTGAAGAGATGTAGTACAGTGAATTGAAAGCCTTGCTAATTTTGGATACGAGGAATAAAATCTGATGGGATGAGCAGGCAATTTCCTTTCCTTTTTTTTTTCTTTCATCTGAAGCAAAGTAATTTTGCAATCACAATTTTACCCCAGATCTGCTTTTCATTTTCAATCTTGAAATCACTACCCATTCTTGGCAAATTCATTAACATCAGTAACAGATGTGGCAGTAACCACGTGGAAAATAGGACAAATATAGTATGGGTTTAAGCATGAGAGAGATAAGCAAAATCATGAGAATGCATACCACGGTTATATTCATCGTCATTGTCTAACCAAACACACAGAATGAAAAGAGGAATCCCCAGAACGTGACACTACACAATGCCAAGATAAAATCACTGCTAAGTCTGAGCATGACAAAGAAACAGATGGTCATGACCTCTTCTGCAGGGAGGGGAAACAAAAAAAGAATAATGATACAAGACACTTAATAGCGAAATTGTTCATGACTGCTAAGATTCTCGGAAGAAAAACAAAATGAAGAAGCCGCTACAGGAATGAGATAAAAAAAAAAGACATGTCTATGTTTGCCAGCCACATTGCAGAACTGAAGAGTCACCTGTGGTTTTCCGCTTAACACAGGAGAGATGAGTTGGTCTAGTATATTTGATAGCAGGTTTTAAAATGAATTTCCTGGAGGGAGAGTGGGCCTGAACTTCTGTTTTTTTAGCAAGTTCAGCCTTCTTATAAACTGCTACGAATAAAGAAAACACAAAAAAGCATACCATCAGGAGAAAATAAACAGTTGGAGCAAAACAGAACGAAATTTCATAAATAATTAGTTACCACTGTTAGGAAGTTTCTTCTACGAAAGAGTAATAATGAATTCAAAAACATTTTTAAAGAAGTTACTGTGAAATGAACCTTTTTTCCTTCTCACTTCATCTCTGGAGACTGTGCTAGGTTCCTTTTTAGCTATTTTTCTTTCAGGAGTGGAAATTCTGCCTCTCCCGGTTTTAAAAGGCTTTTCTTTTCTATGTTTCTCAAGAGATGGTCTCCGAGCTTCCTTTTCAGCTTTCTCCTCTTTAGGAATAGTTTCTAACTGTTCTGTCATGATGCTCCTATCATCATCTGCGGATCAAAGCAAACCATGACAACAACAACAACAATGAAAACATTAGTAACAAATGTACAAAATCCTTCATATATTTAACAAAATGCAAAATAGAGATAAAGGGAAATTTAACCAAGTTTAAAATGAAAAAGAAATCCATTAGGTTATTGGATTTTATTTGGAAGTAGAAAATTAAAAAAAAATAATGCACACCTTGAGTGTCCACCCAGAGGCTGTCAGCATCCATGATGGAGTCATCAATGGTGGTCTCGTCTTTGTAATCGTCATAGGTTTCCGTCTTATATTCTGAGAGTGCAACCTCTTCTCTCTCAGGGGAAGCGGGAGCCTCCGGGGAGCCATCCTTGGGTTCCGCCTGGGCTTCGGCTGCCTCTTCTACTTCGAGCTCTTCTTCAGCGTGGGGGGACGATCTCCTCTCCACCTCAGGCTGCTCCAGGGCTGCAAAACGCACGCTGTGGGAACCTGACTCCCCTTCATCCATTGTGGTTTGCACCACAGTGATAAAGTCATCCTCGATGGTCACAACAGACTCGATCACTCCTTTGTGCTCACCAGGGCAGGTCTCCACAAATTCCTCCCTGACACCTGGGACGCCCAGGTCGGTAATCTGAAGGGTGTCGGAGCGGAAGAGCAGTTTATCATATTCTCCCCGGGCTTCTATCTCTTCTTCCTCACTCTGAGCCTCTGCCGGTTCAGCCCTGGTGGCTTCAGGCAATGGCTCTGCGACGTCGGAGGGCGTGACAGAGATATCTGGAGTTTCTTTGCTTTCTTCTTTCGGCTGCTGAATAAATTCCATCTGGACATCAGGTCTCTCATCTGGGACTAAATCAGCCTCCAAGACAGCAGGTGCACAAGGTATTTCCACTGACAATTTGATGGCAATCTCATCTTGAATTAGAGAGGATTCTGGGGATGTTTCCTTCTTGCCCTCATCGGCTTTCAAGGACTCCATGGTGAGGCTCTCATGCTCACCACTGGACTCGTAGGACTCTTCCTTGTCTACAGCCTCCTGGTGCACCAAATCAGGCTTGGCCACCTTCTCCTTGATTTCCGTCTCACTGACTTTAGTGCCTTCTTTCATGTGGCCAGCCTCAACACTCATAAACGCGTCTTCCTCCTGAGGTGCTCCAGATGAGGGGGGGAGATCTTGAGTAGCCTCGAGCTTAAGCTCTGTTGCCTTTCCAGCGTCTACCGCCAGCCCTGCGGCCATCTGTCCAAAGTCACTGATTTTCACATCTAGTTGACCCTGGTCAGCTCTCATTGCAACAAAATCCAGTTCTGGTTCAGCTTTTTTGGATGGTTCGACCTCAGCTACTTCTGGCACTGAACTAAGACCTTTCTCAGCTTTCTCGGCCATGGGAGGTGATGTGTCTTTTGAAACGGTCAGTTCTTTGGTGGGAATGTGCTCGTAAGTTACTCCTAAGCCAAATGTTTCAACTTCATCACTGGCCTCTTCTGTTGCCTTGGCGTGTTCTTTTGCATCAACATGTTCTTCACTCTTTTCCAGAACAGTATCCAGCTTATCATTAGCTTTCCTCTCCTGATCAAACTCCCTACCCAGTCCCGATTTGTCACCAGAGATATGTGGGGGTACTTCTTTCTCAGCACCGAACTCATCTTTGACTCTTCCGGCAGCTGCCAATTTTACTTCAATCAAGGACAGGTCTGTGGCTAGATCTCTTCGCATTTTATCTTCTGTGCCTTCATAAAAGGAACCACTCTCCCCTGACAAATTCTCACTGTCTTGAACGGGTGATGGGAGTGGGACTGTGTATTTATTGAACACACAGTAACCCAGGTCCTCAAGCTGACTGTCTGTTTTAACAATGACGTGGTTTTCATCGGTGACAGAGGGCAAGCCGGTACTACTCTCCTCGACCACAGTCTCTGATGGGACTGACTTCCTCCTGGCAACCTCAGCATCTGCACCCACGGAAGCTAATCTTGACCTTGTGCCTGCCAGATCTAGCATTTCCGGCAGGTCAGGGGCCATGACAGTACCATTTTTGTAGTAATCTTTGGCTAAGAAAGGTGACTCACACGAGGTCTCGACTTGAGTACTTTCCTCTCCGGCAGCTTTTCCTCCCTCTGTCTGGTCTTCCTCTTTGCTTTCTAGTGGGAAAGAGGGGGCTTTCTCCAGTGCAGGTGTTGTGGCTGGAAGGTAATCATCCCCTTCATCCATACTCCCACTAGTGTTGGTTAGAATATCAGAAGCCAGAGGAGAGAGATCATGTCCCCGACCAAAGTTAAATCCAAGGGCTATGGAATCCAGGCAAGACATGGGCAAATTGATTGACATGCTTCGCTGTTCTATTGCAGACCTCCCACCAAGTCCTAAACTCCTGCTTAGCGTCAAGTCATCCTTATTCTTACTGTGGAGATCCCGCTTCTCCCCATACACTTTTGGGTCAATAGTAAACATTCTTTCTTGAGGAGAACTAGGTTCTTCAGGTAAATCAGACGGATAACTCTGTGCAAGAGTGCTGTACCCTGTTTCTTGTGCTGGAGCACTGGGCTGGGGTTCTTTACCCGCCTCAAGTCCCTTGTCTCCATTTTTACACACGGGAGATAGGGTATCAAAAGACTCTTGGACACTTTCTCTGGTGTCACTGAGTTCATAGTAATCACTGCCTGGCTGGATGCTTTTTGTCACTTCTTCTTTCAAGGCGGATGTTTCAAAATACTTGGACATTCCTGACTTATCTTCGTAAAACGGCATGTCAAGCTCCGCTGATGTTGCAGGCCCAACCCCTTCCATCTTAATATCTTTGTCTGCAACTTTTTCTTCAAAAAGGTCCTGGACTGCACTCTTTTCACTTACTGCCACTGGTTCGGTCATGACTTTCTCCAGTGTCTTAGAGGTCACAGCTGAGTCTGTCACTGCTTGTTCCACACTGACAGGGAATGAGTCCTGTTTTAATGGCTCTGTGGTAGGCTCTTGGACTTTCTGCTCTTCTTTTGAGAGGGTGTGCTCCATGCAGGGCTGAATTATGCCTGTTTCTCCATCTGTCAGTTTCGGGGGCTCACTCTCTTTTGGCATGGCTTCTTTGTCAGAAATGGTTGTCTTTTCTTCAAGCTTTAGTGGAGATTGCTTTTCAGTAAGTGTCACTTCCTGCTCTTTTTTCTGTGCACTCTCTTGCTTTATTGCCCCTTTCTCCTCTCCCAAAACTTTCTCTGGGACACATTCTTCCACGGTCGGAATGTGGGCATCTTTGGGTAAGGTGAATGCCTCTGGGGCTGGTGCTTCTGCCATTTTGTCAGGTTTATCCTCATGGGGCTCTTCAGCTTTAAAACTATCTTTGGCAGTTGCTGGGCCACTGGTTTCTTCCAGAGATTTTTTGTCATCTGGTTGTAATAGGGCAGGGGCAAAGGGTGATGCTTCTACAACTATTTCATTCTTCATGACATCTAAAGGAAGAGTGAAGCTGCCAGCCTGAAAGGGACTGGGCATGGGAGAATCAAACTGTTTCCCCTCCCATTTGGGGATATCCTCAAGGACATCTTTTCCCTTCATGGGGGTTAGAGGGCCAGGCGAGATGGGAGCAGCTAAACCCCACTCAACCTTTTTGGCTTCTGTTGGCATTTCGATGAACCAGTCCTTTTGCTCTTTTGGAGCTGGGGGCTCTGCAGAGAGGCCAATACCAGGCACCATGGGGCTTGGTTCTATCTTCTGTTTCGTGTCTTCTAGCCCGGCACCAAGAGTATGCCCAAACAGAGTGGGAGGTGCTTTTTCTTCCTCTGGGCCTTGCATGTCCTTTTTGTCAGGGGAAATTTTAGTTGTCTCAGGCTGAGAAACTAAGGCAGCATGTTTAAGGTCTTCACCAGGCTTGCTTTGTTTCTCTGACTCCTTGTCCTTCTTGTCTAATGGCTCAGCTGGAGAGGGAGTCAAGTCCTGTTGATCATGGAACTCCATCTTCAAGGCTGGAAGTAAACCTGAAGTAATTGGGTTGATTTTTAAACAAATAATAGGCAAGTGCTTTCAGGCAGTAAGCTTAAAATTATATTTTGAAATGACAAATTAATGGTAGGGTAAGAAAACAAAACAAAACTATGGAACATGCAAGCATGCTACCCATTTAAAAATCAATATGAAAATGTCAGGACTGAGATATATTTGTACTACTGCGGAAAGGGATTCCCGTTGCGAATTAATGCATACAGGAATTGTGTATTTTGAATACTCTTTTCTCCTTTGTTTGGGCTCTCCTAAATACCATGTAATGTGTATTGTAGTAGAAAATTTCATGTGCCTTTTGCAGACAAAAATGATAAATTAAAGAATATTGAATAAGTCAGTAATATTAGGGTACAAAAATACATTAAGGGCTAAATATGAAAAACGGATGAATGTCTACTGAGCTTTTTCACTTGTGTTCTCATTTAAAAATGAACTGGCAGGCCATGGGTGGAAGGGCAATTCATTCATAATAAGTATTATGTTAAAATCAAGTTAATTGATTTATAAATGCCAGGACCAAGTTTTTGAACATTAAGAAGTTACTGACATAATTTTTAAGGCGTCTTCTGAGATTAAATTTCAGGAATATAAATAAATATTTGCTATTAACTTTAAATGATATGACAAGGTGGTTTCTATCACAAATTCAAAATTTTTAATTCCTAATCGTTAGTTAACCTTAGGACAGATATTAAGAAAATCTGAATTATATTATTAATCCTGGGATGTCAAATAAATAAAATCTTAAAAAAAATACTGGGATGTCATGTGAATAAAAATTTTAAAAAGAGCCAATTATTATCATATCTTTCTCTCCCTGGTAATGACCTCATTCCCTGGAATATGACAGACAGTGAGGGACTGTCTTCACAGACATTAAATGGCTCTTTCTTTATTTTCGTTTGTTCACCAACCGGAAAGGTTTCAGAGTCTCACTTGTGTTCTAAGGTCACAGGTATTTCATTGTGGTCATTAGGGCCAAATGTAACTATCTGGAAAAGATTTGGGGAAAAATAATAAAATTCAGTCATCGCTCGAAGAGCAAGTGTATGGATCATCAATACCTTATGTACTTGTGTGTCCTGTTGTAACAATAGAAAAGAAATACTTTATGAACTTCTAATAGAGGTTAGATGAATGAAAACTCAAGAGATATGGTGATGGTCAAAGACGTTGGCTGCCATGGAGAGGAAATGATATGAGAAGCATCGGCAGGAACTTTTAAGGAAACCAAACCAGTATTCATCGAAGCATAAAAAATATAGCACACTGCGGTTGCAAACAAAAACAATTCTACATTTAAGCCTCTATGTGCCAAAATCCAACTCTACGGTTTGAAAGAAAAGCATATGAATCGCTGTCCCAAAAATAAAAATAAATATATACATGTATTAGCAATGTGGCTGGCAAACACTTGGAGATGGGGGGCGGGGCAGGCGGACAAAAAGCTCACACAGCATCGTCAGCCTGGCTGCAAAGCATATTGTATCATGGCAAAGTAAAACCAAGAATCAGCTGCAGCAGTGGAAAACCTAGCTGCCACACAGCAACTGTGCAAGCCACACTCTGCTCATTAAACCTACAACATCAGTCTCGGGATCATGAGAAGACCAAGCCATGGAATAGCATTGGAAAGGCATCAGGTCCGTAAGCTGCTGGAGAGATCATTTGCAACAAAACACATGCAAATCCTAGGAAAGACACACCTTCCCTGGCAGAGGAAGGGACTGTTACTTCTGGAGACACCTCGGTGACCTCTTTTACACTTTTCTCCTGCAGGGCCCCTGCTGGGGCACTCTCTTCAGGAGCTATGTGGGCCTCCGCACTAGACTCCGTGTGGCCCTCACTGAGGCCCTGGGGTTGGTCTGAGGCCTTGGCAGCCCTGCACTCTTTCCCAGGAAGAGTGGCAGGTGTCTCTTCCTCAGCCACTGTTCCCTCTAGCGTTTCTTCTTCTTAGGGATGAAAAAGATGTTGACATCATGACCACAGAATACACACAATGGCAGAAATATTACTCATGGAACACTTTCAGCTCCATTACATCAACCTCGCCAGAACCTTATTTTACCATTTGGATGAGCAGATTAATATTCGAATGCAACGTGCATTATGTATTGCTTGGGCAATGATTATATATATATAATCTGCTAATAATGATGCCTTTTAAAGTCTCGTTAAAAGGCTATTTATTTGAAAACTTGAGAGCTGAAAGGGTCTTATTGCTCTATTCCCCTTAGTGGAAATGGCAGTAAGTTGCACACATGTAGGGAGCTTGCTGGAAAGAAGAGATGGTGCTTTTGGATAACAGATGGTTATGAAAAGACAGATGCATTGATGGACTAAAAAAATCTTTACGTTTGCTAGACAGGGGCTGCTTTCTCCAATGCAGTAAGCCCCTACATACGAATTTCTGATTACTTTATTAAAAACATGCAAACTTCAGTAAAGAATCTTGGGGAATAAAAAACACCCGGCCTCAACATAATAACCATCAACTCCCCTAACAGCTTTATCACGGAATCCATCAACACTATCTTATTTAGTATGTAAAGGCCAAAGTCTCAAGTATTTAAAGTATTAAATTACATTTTAATACAATTTATGCAATATTTTTAAGGCAAAAGACTTCCTAACTCAATTTATTTTACCTTCCTTGCATTATATGATATGGGAGAATGTAAAAGATTTCAAGGAGTAAGCAAACTATTTTGAAAAGCAAGGTCCAGGTAAAATGGAATCTTAGCATTTAGAAAAGTCCACCTTGGGGATACAACTGTTACCATATTGCTTACACCCTTGTAATACCAATAATGTAGTTCATGTATAGTTGCCCTTGATCCTGAATAAGACAATGTGCACATTACCTGTAAAGTCTTGTTTCTGCAATTCAAAACCAAACCACCAAGATAACTGAACGACAATCAAACTGCCAAAATATCTTCCCAAAAGATGTATACCACATGGAAAAATGTTTACAATTAAAATGTAAAAAGCACACCTATGAAGGCCATGATTTATTGTGTTCATTTGCTTCTCATTTGCACTTTCAAATGCCAGTACAATGAGTCCCATTTTATTGCTTGAGAAATTACAGGGGAAATGTAAGCTGTTTTATAGTTCCACAAATGAAAGATTCGGATGAAATTCTTATGCAACATTGTTTAAATGGCCCGGTGAGAAAGACTACAGATGGAAAGGAAAGCAATTTTCTTTTTTGAGAAATATTAAAACCCCTGGGCAGGGGGTGGGGGAGGGGAGAACTACTTCATCTCTTTCCTCCCATTTAGCACTCAGGGACTTTCATTTTTGTTATTTAATTATGTAAGCAACATTTAAAAAATTCAGATTCCAAATTATTATCAAGGCATTTTTATAATGTCACAGAATTAGAGATTTTGATTACAGATAAGAGACTTTTACTATAGCTGCTTTGCTAATGTCACCTTCTTGGGTAAAGTCTAATCAATTTAATCAACATGTTTTCCAAATCCACGCAACCTTTCGGCTTTCCATTTCCTCATTTTGTATAAATCAGGTCTATTTCCACTATACCTGTTTCTCGCTCGAAATTTCACAGATTTTTCTTAACTGTTGTAAGTTCACACTCTTAGAACTTACTTTTACTCCATATGGGTTATATTTCTCTATTAGAGTGTCTGAACCATTGGTGCTCTTTGTTTTCCAATGGACACTAGAATAAATTTATTATCATGAATGTAGTTGGTAAACTATGAGTTTCTTCCTCATTGCCTTGGAACTATCTGCCCTTTCATTAAATACTGTCCCGTATGGAAATAAACTCTTCATGCACATTTTTCCCTATTTGAGAGTAAGTTCTTCACCTATGCAAAACATGTTTTAGCTCTAATTTTGCTTTCCTTTACAAAACTACCTAGTTAGAACGAGATAAATTTCAGCCCACCGCCCTTATAATGGCCAGTTATACACTAGGGTCTGCTAGCTTTATGAAGGTGGAATGACAAAGGCTTTGGATCATTTCCTTCACTTTAGCCCAGGTCTGCTCATGTGAGCCAATATTTAGTCACTTGGGGGGAGCCTCTGTAGTTTTTGTAGATGATTAAATTATTTGGAGAAATACATTCATTCTGTAACATGTGTTCTGCCCTATACAGATTCATGATCTTTCTCTTTTAAGGAGCCACCGTATTGACATGGCACTAAAAAGAAGGCTAATTCTATTTAAGTCTGGTCCTAGTAATAGTCTATATCCAAGGAGGAAAAAAAATTATATACAGGGCCCTCTTATTCAGTTTGAGTAGAGGATGTATTCTTCCCCCTCTGATTTATTTACAGGGAGCAGAAAGGAGTCGTACTTTAACTGAACTTTTTTGCTCCCTCCCCCCACTCCCACCCCTTTTTTGGCTTTCTTTTCAGAAGCAATGATACAGAAAAAGAAAATACTCCTATGCCCCAAATAAGGCTTCTTGTAGATAAGGTAGTTGGCTAGACATATAAACTACATAGGGACTTCACTTTCATATGGAAAAAACAGGCTCCTTTTCCTCCCACCCCACAGCTGAAGGTACACTTAGAATGATGCATGTGGTCAACCCTGCAGGCTGGGGGGAGGAGCAAAAGGGGACCATGCTTGGTTCACCTTTCTCCTGGCCTAAGTGGGCCTCTGCACTCTGCACTGGGACACTGGGGAGCAAACTAGAGGTAGTCCATTGTGAGCGGAACAAAGGATGCTCATAGTACTCCTCATCGGAATTGGAAGGGTCATCATTAGGCACAGACACCGAGATGGAGGGTGCTAGTAGTCTACGCCTCTCCCCGCTGGTGGCATGTTCGTGGCTGGGGAAGCTGTGTAGAGGACCCACTTGATCCTCAGCCCCTTCATCTACAAACAGACACACAGGAAGAACCTGCAGGGAGAACTGGACAAGACAGACACAAGATCACCTGGACGAGACAAACACCTGCACAAGGACACATGAGCCACAGAAGTAGCATA